ACATTATCATATAATTATTATTGCCTCATGGCAACATGGAAAATAATGAATAATATTAGAAGAAAATAAGGCGAGATATCCCGTGACATGGACAGTGGAATCAGGACGATCGACCCCATAGATTAAATTACATTATCATATAATTATTATTGCCTCATGGCAACATGGCAAGCAATAACTGAATAATATTAGGAAGAAAATAAGGCGAGATATTCCGTGACATGGACAGTGGAATCAAGACGATCGACCCCATAGATTAAATTACATTATCATATAATTATTTTTGCTTCATGCAAACATGGCAAGCAATAACTGAATAGTACTAGGAAGAAAATAAGGCGAGATATCCGTGACATGGACAGTGGAATCAGGACGATCGACCCCATAGATTAAATTACATTATCATATAATTATTATTGCTTCATGCAAACATGGCAAGCAATAACTGAATAGTACCTTGAAGAAAATAAGGCGTGATATCCCGTGACATGGAGAGTGGAATCAGGACGATCGAGCCATAGATTAAATTACATTATCATATAATTATTATTGCCTCATGGTAACAGGGCCAGCAATAGTGCTTAAATGAGAACAAGGCGAGAACATGGGCAGTGGAATGAGTATAGTATTATAATGTAATTATTTTTACTTCGTGATAACAAGGCAAGCCATAACAGTACTAGAAAGAAAATAAGGCGAAATATCCCGAGACATGTGTAGTGGAATGAGGACGATCGACTCCGTAGATTAAATTACATTATAATATAATTATTATTGCCTCATTGAAAAGGGGCAAGCAATAACTGAACAGTACTAGAAAGAGATATCGAGATATCCCGAAACATGTGCAGTGGAATGAGTAAAAATGCCTCGTAGATTAAATTACAATATAATATAATTATTATCCCTTCATGGGAACATAGCAAGCAATACCCTAAAAGTACTAGAAAGAAAACAAGGCAAGATATCCCGAGACATGGTCAGTGAAATGGGAACAATTTATCCCCGTAAATTAAATCATATTATAATATGATTATTGTTGACTCATGGAAACAGAGCTAGCAATAACTGAACAGTACTAAAAAGATGAGATATCCCTAGACATGGAGAAAGGAATGAGAACGATTGACCCCGTAGATTAAATCGCATTATAATGTAAGTATTATTGCTTCGTGGAAACTGAGCAAGCGATACGATAATTGAACAGTCCTAGAAAGAGAGGAAGTCGACATATCCAGAGACATAGACAGTGATTGAGAATTGTCTACCCCATGTAGATTAAATTACATTATAATATAAAAGAATGGCGTGCGTTTCTTAAAATGGTAATTAAATCCTCCTGGAACAATCCAATGAAATAAACCCTGTTTCTGTATCTTTAGCAAAAGCTCATATATATGGTTCCCGCTTATTAATTTGATTTGTTCTACCTGCCGTTCAAGTTCAGGTACCTCTTTGATACATCGTGATTGAAATTTCAGGAGATGGTCACTTATGGTGGGACGTTATGAGTTTCGTTTTTTAATTATTGAAGATCTTCCGCCATCGAGCTACCAGGGTTTGTTCAGAGGAGAGATCCTTATGGTCAAGATTTTAGGAGATGCAACATTAAACTGTTGTGTCATCTAAATAGATATTTGCTAAAGATTGGAATATATCTTTAGCTAGAACATTAATATAGAGTAAAAATTGGGTAGGTTGGAGTTTAGTATTTACCAGATGGGCATTTGATGGATGGCTGTTAACAATGAACTTCAGAAAGCTATCTTTTAGGAAGGATTTCATAATTGAGAAAAGTCTCTCAGAGATTCCTTAGCTGTAGATATTACTAGCAGGAGAGCCCGGCGTTGCCCGGGGATGTAACAGTAACAGATAGATCAAGTGTCGACCATCATAAAGACGGAAAAATAAAATTGACAAAGATTATTGTTTAAGGTTGACGGGCACGCTTGTCTTAATTAGTTTTTTTTTTGTTTTTTTTTACGAATTGGTCAAACCAAAACTAAAAAAAAAACCATTGTTTTCAATCGTTATGAGTCTACCGATTGAATAGAATTTTATTATAAACAATTGCCTTGTAAATGAAAGCATTCTGAATGTAAAAATAAAGAAAAAAAGTGTGCAAGACAATAAGGAACACTACCTGCCAAAAAAGTAACGTTTTGTTGAAATCGGTTAAAAAATGTAGGAAATCCGATCCCATATATAAACAAACACACACACACACACACACACACACACACACACACACACACACAACCTGGGTTTTCATTCTGGCGACAGAATCGTGTTTTATCGTGTTTTCAAATTGATTTCGTGCAAAAACAATTGTGTTTTTCTTATTTTTGGCGCTGTCAGAACCACCACAAGGTAATTTTACGCAGTGCTGTGAAGTTTGTTGAAATTGGTTGAAAAATGTAGGAAATCCGATCCAATATATAAACGTACAGACACACACGCACACAATCTGTGTTTTATAATAAGTAAGATGTAGCAGCCATTGATATATCTAACGCGATGATCCTCTTGATGAATTTATTGTCTATTGACTCTCCGATCATGTAATTTAAAGCTCTGAGTTAATGGCAGTTAAGACTTCAGCAGTGGATCTAGCAGAGTGAGACCTATACAGCTTATTACAGATGCGTCTGTTGCTGCTAAAATTTTAAAAAGAAATTCTTGCTGCTTTTGGATGCGAAGTTTGCTTTAATTTCATTTATTTTGAAACATACAGGTAATAGTGTGTGAGTCAGTGTAGCCGATAACGTAGTGCCAATACTAATATTGATACTCGTCGAGGAAAGCGTTTTTAATCATTTCGCCACAAGCATGTCAGCGATGCCTCTAGTACGCAGGGAATTACAGAGACTGAAAGTGTGAGAGAAAATACTGGATATAGCTGGGATTCAGGAAAGGAAAAAAGATGATCTGGATTCAAGAAGAGAGGAGATGGAGATTGACGCTGTATTTAAATTTTTGAAGATTGTAGTGAAGGAAATAAACGATAGGAAATTTTCATAAGCGTATGTGAGAGAAAATAAACTGTTGGAGTAGAAATGTCGGTTATATTTAACTATTTCAAAAGCAAATTGGTGGGACCTAGTTGCCAATCTAGCAGCACGCTTAAATTCATGTAATCTGGGGACCATGGAAGAAAGCTCGTCGGTGGAGTTGCCATCAAAATATTTATAGAAAAAACAAAAGGAAAAAGGGAATGGTAAACAGTGTATTCTACTAATATGCATGTAGAGTGGAGATTATCAACGTAGAAAATGTGATTGGCATCCATGGTTTAAATTTCCTTCGTGCAAGATACAGTGCATTCGGAAATATAAGGATCTGTATTTTCTCCACATTTTAATAGTAAGCAAGATCAGAAACGATGGCCAAGTAGTCCATCAAAAGCAAAATGATATAAGATTGAGTCATGAGTAATTTATGACTTGGGAAACAATTGTAATGAGGAATATATCAGCTTAACAAACCGTATTTAAAATATACAATAACAGGGGATGATAAACGACTTACATAAGAAAAATGGTCACTGTGTAGTGGATTTACAATGAAAAAAATCTCGTAAACAGACCCCCACCTCTGAGTTCGTTGGAAGAAAGGAAATTTTGTGCTTGTGGTTGGCTCTTCGTGGTATTACTCGTTTACAGTTTTTAAAATCTAGTGGAACTTTAAATGCAGATTTATACGCCTGTCAGCTGCAGCATGACCTTGAATATTGCTATAAAATGCTCTTATTGGGACAATCGTCTCTAATTAAAACCAAATCCAAGACATTTTCTCTTCAATAAACTGCGGAATTTTACTAAAAAATATATCGAGGAAGTTACTGATAAAAGTAAAAATCCAAGGCAAATAGAATTTTTTTGTACTTTGCTTTTGAACACTTTGCCTGTCCAGGGCCTTTTCGCGTGTATTATCGAAACGTTCATGCTTGCTTTCAGATTTATAACTATTCCAAGGCAACAAATGTGATATATATATATATATATATATATATATATATATATATATATATATATATATATATATTGATCACATAATAAAACCAAGTGAAGCACAGAACAATACAAATCATTTGGCGAAATTTCTGAATTTAAAACTGCTTGGTAGTGGGACAACCACCTTCTGCACCTACAAAACCTGCGGACTAAATAGACCACAGAATCTACACCGTCCATGGGACGAGAAGTGGTGGATTCACACCATTCCCAAGACTATTTACGTGTAAATGAATTTAATGAACGCGGCTGGATCTAGAACTCCACTCTCTGATTTCGAATTACGAACCGTTATCCATTATCCACACAACCAAACATGCAACACTTGGTATTCCCAAACGATCACCCATCTAAGTACTGTCCAGAATTGACGTTGCTTAACTTTATTGGCACACCTACGTTTATGTATAACTTCGAACAATAATATTTTATGATTAGCAGTGTACAACCTGTGGGAAACTCCAGTAAGTTTTGAACTCATTTTAAAACCTTTCAAGTCTTCTCTACTTAATTGTTCTCCGATATCAAAACAACTATTTATTTACTTAGTTTTAATTAATCTGAGATGAGATGCTGATAGTGAATTTCCATTAGTAATCGAATATTTCGAATAAAAGATTATCGTATGAGAAACTGAGAAACGAAGTAATTCATTTTGTCGTTAATCTTCAATCAATTTCCCTGGTATTTCTCGAAATGAAAATGGACGGAATAGACAAAGAGAGAACGATCACACTTCTGAAAGTAGAAAACAATAAGAAGAAAGGCAAAACATTAAAGAAAACTAAATTAGAAAGGTGCTGACAAAAAATAAAAGAAAGAAAAACGTAAGACTAATGAATGAATTAATGAAAAAAAAGAAATAAAAAAGAAAAAGAAAAAAAGGAAGAGAAATAAAAAAGAAATAGAAAAGAAAGAGAAATAAAAAAGAAATAAAAAAGAGAAATAAAAAAGAAATAAAAAGAAAGAGATATAAAATAATAAAATTTAATAAAAAAGAAAGTAAAATAAAAAAGAAAAAAGAACTAAAAGAGAAAGAGAAACAACAAAACAAATAAAAAAAGAAATAAAAAAGAAATAAAAATAAAAAAGAAAGAAAAAAGAAATAAAAAGAAGGAGAAATAAAAAAGAAATAAAAAAAAGAGAAATAAAAAAGAAATAAAAAGAAATGAAAATAAAAAAGAAATAAAAAAGAAAGAGAAATAAAAAAGAAATAAAAAAGGAAGAGAAATAAAAAGATAAAAAATAAATAAAAACGAAATAAAAAAGAAAGAGAAATAAAAAAGAAATAAAAAAGAAAGAGAAATAAAAAAGAAATAAAAAAGAAAGAGAAATAAAAAAGAAATAAAAAGAAATAAAAGAGAGAAATAAAAAAGAAATAAAAAAGGAATAAAAATAAAAAAGAAATAAAAAAGGAAGAGAAATAAAAAAGAAATAAAAAAGAAAGAGAAATAAAAAAGAAATAAAAAAGAAAGAGAAATAAAAAAGAAATAAAAAGAAATAAAAGAGAGAAATAAAAAAGAAATAAAAAAGGAATAAAAATAAAAAAGAAATAAAAAAGGAAGAGAAATAAAAAAAATAAAAAATAAATAAAAACGAAATAAAAAAGAAAGAGAAATAAAAAAGAAATACAAAAAGAAAGATAAATAAAATAGAAAGAAAAATAAAAAAGAAATAAAAAGAAATAAAAAAGAAAGACAAAGAAAAAAAGAAATAAAAAGAAAGAGAAATAAAAAAGAAAGACAAATAAAAAAGAAATAAAAAAGAAAGACAAATAAAAAAGAAATAAAAAAGAAAGACAAATAAAAAAGAAAAGAAATAAAAAAGAAAGACAAATAAAAAAGAAAAGAAATAAAAAAGAAAGAAAAATAACAGAAGAAATAAAAATAAAATAAAAAAGAAATAAAATAGAAATAAAAAAGAAAGAGAAATAAAAAAGAAATAAAAAGAAAGAGAAATAAAAGAAATAAAAAGAAATAAAAAAGGAAATGAAAAAGAAAGAGAAATAAAAAGTAAATAAAAAAAAAATAAAAAGGAAAGAGAAATAAAAAAGAAATCAAAAGAAAGAGAAATAAAAAAGAAATAAAAAGAAAGAAATAAAAGAAATAAAAAGAGATAAAAAAGAAATAAAAAAGAAAGAGAAATAAAATAGAAATTAAAAAAGAGAAATATAAAGGAAATAAAAAAGAAATAAAAAAGAAAGAGAACTAAAAAAGAAATAAAAAATAAAGAAAGTAAGAGAAATAAAAAAGAAATAAAAAAGGAAAGAGAAATAAAAATGAAATAAAAAAAATAAAAAAAGAAAGAGAAATAAAAAAGAGAAAAAAAATAGGAAATAAAAAAGAAATATTAAAAAGAAAGAGAAATAAAAAAGAAAGAAAAAAGAAATAAAAATGAAAGAGAAATAAAAAAGAAATAAAAAAAGAAAGAGAAACTTAAGAATAATTAAGGAAGTGAACTAAGGAAAAAAAAGAGTTAGATTTATAATCAAAAGAATAATTCTGATAAAAAGACGGTACCGTCAAAGAGAAAACAAAACAGAATCGAAAGACTGATAGATGAAAGGAAAAATTGGAGTGAACATATACGTAAATGCAAAAAGTAAGCATTGGCGTTTGAGTGCCTAAATTTAGTTTTGGTCACGAAGAAGAAAATATAGAAAGTAGTTCCTACAATGAAGAAAAATCTTTAGAAAAAAAATCGTATAAAAATATCCATACCAAAATATATTGTTCAACAGAAAAACCTATTTCTAACATTTACGAGTTCTGAAGATAGAAACGAAAACATTTGATTTTTTTTTCCGACGACGAACTTGATTGAAAAGAATGGCGCCAACTTTTTATTTATTTATTTATGCATTTTTACATCATTAAGGTAAATGCGATTTTGGGATTCTGTGGGTGGGGGGCACCATTTACTTCCCCTTTTTATATTTGATACTTCATCTTCTAGGAATACTCACACACAAAAAAATGAATACAAGAAAATCTTCACCGTTTCCATTGATTTAAAACATACAATAAGACACCGGTGCATTGCTGGGTGACAGCAAGCTAAATGGGACTTTATCGGAGAGGTTACTTAAAAGTTCTCCACCCGACTAAAGATTACTTCCAAAAAAAATTCTAATGGTTTGTCATTTCATCTAATTTTAAAAAGTGAGTTACATCTAATAATTTTCATCGATGGCTGGCTGAAAAGTTCATAGACTGACTGTGAATGGATGATGCTATAGTTGTGAAATATCGCATGCGTTAATCTCAAGACTTCTTATTAATAACTGCATTGTTTCTCTCCATGCGCAAAAGTGGGCTGAACAGTTCATAGGCTGACTATATTTAGTCGTCCCCCCCACGAGGGCGTCATGTGGCACAAGGCCTAAAGTTCATATGCTGACTATGAAGTCGAGATACTAGAGCAGTGAAATCTTGTATGTATTAATTACAACTCTTATTAATAATTGCATTGTTTCTCTCCAGGTCTAAGGGTGGGCTTGACTATGATACGAGAGTTGTTAAATTTTGGTTAGTTTTGAGCAAACGGTTATTCTTGTTAGTTTTGAGAGATTAACTCCTTCACCTTTTTCATTTTCAAAATATCTTCTCGCAATTTTCCATTTTGATCATTTTTTTCTCCTCCATTTTGATTTTTCTGCTCCATTTTCTTTTCATAATTTAAGTTTAAAGTTTAATTTTCATAATTATAATTTTCTACTATACTTCCTTTCTCCAACTTATTTTTCCAACTTCGCGATTTTTAAGGTTCAATATTAAAAATATCTAACATTAAGTATGACCACATCAGAGTCGTGATACCCAGATATAATTTGCTTAAAACCGTAAAGCAGTCAGTTTGTGCTCAGCACGCGAAGACTGCGTCGTTTATAAAACTCAGAGTCGTGCAAAAGGTGTGATATAGTAGCGATTTTCCAAGAGTAGCTTAGATGTGAAACAAGGCCGAAATTAGTGGCCACCCAGTGAGGATCGAACTCACTACTCAGTTCTAATTGTTCTAGCGAGCCAAGCTAGCTATCCATTACACCGCCTAGAGCAAAGGGTGATATATATATATATATATATATATATATATATATATATATATATATATATATATATATATATATATATATATATATATATATATATATATATATACATATATATATATATATATATATATATATATATATATATATATATATATATATATATATATATATATATATATATATATACATATATATATATATATATATATATATATATATATACATATACATATACATACATATATATTCATACATATATATACATACATATATATATATATATACATATATATATATATATACATATACATATATATATATATATATATATACATATATATACATATATATATATATATATATATATATATACACATATATATATACATACATATACATATATACACATATATACATATATATATATATATATATATACACATATATACATATATACATATACATATATACACATACATATATATATACATATATATATACATATATATATATATATATATATATATATACATATATATATATATATATATATATATATATATATATATATATATATATATATATACATATATATATATATATATATTTTACATATTCTTTTTTTTCTTTTTTTTCTTTCTTTCTTTTTTCTTTCTTTCTTATTTGTATCTTCTTCCTTTGTACTTTACTTCTTTCGTAGTTTCCTTCTTACTTTCCTTCCTTCCTTCTCTAAGATGCCAACAACAATATGTACCTTATTTATTATTCTTCTTTCCACACATTGTTGACGCAGAATATTGAGGAATGTTTACTGTTCAAATTGGATGGCACTTTGCTGGCAAAACTTTAAAGACCCCACTCGCGACCTTTCAGGTTTGTCATCGGTCTAACAGTCAAGAGCTTGCTATCCTTATCAAAGAACAGTCAAGTATTCCGATTACTTAGAACTGACATCAAACAGTCGCTTGCAATTGAAATCACTTTGATTCATTCAACCCTCGTTTGACTGTAACAAGCATATCGATGTCTTTCCTCGATCAGACAATGTTTGTATCGTGTGGATATCTCGTATTTTGCAAGTACGAATTTGAGTGTCAATGGGTTTCACTACGCCAAAGATATTCCAATTATTGCTATCGGCTGCAAGTGATAAAACGTCATGAAAACATTGATTGTCATACAGTAAGTCATTTGGCAGTATTCCTTGATATCTAGGACGATAAATATGACGTAGAGGTTTAGCAATCATTGCAGTTCTTCTAAAGGAAATTTCCTGTATCTTAATATTTCGTTTATCTTTTAGAAAGCATCTTTCGCATCTACAATGCGTCATAGGTTTTGTTTTTTGTCGCTGTTTGCTTTGTCTTCTAAAACTCTTCCCATAAATTGACAAGATTTTTTTAAATTCAAGTAACTATCTTAATTCGTCTTTCTTTTCCAGATGGCACAAAAGTAGGACTGTTTTTTTTTTGTTTGTTTTTTTTTTGTTGTTTTTTTTTTCGTTATTCTTGGAATAGCTGAAGAACAAGGTAATAGAATTAACGACAAATGGAATACTGATTGTGGATCTTTAGTTTCTCTTTTCTTTTTAGCAACAATCACCGCTGAAAAACTAGACGGAAAATGCCTTTTTTTTTGGTATTGCCGTTCTCATTCATTCTGAGAATTGGGAAGATGAAATTTTACCAATATTGTTTTATATTTTTAATCATAAAAAAAAACACTTTTAGGATAAATTTTGCAATAAAATGAACACAATATGTTTGACAAATGTTACAAGCTGATCCAGAACAATACACATCTTAAGTTCCTATATACGAATCTTGGATAATTCATAATCTCCATACACGGGAAAATTGTAAATTTTAATATCTATATAAACCAGGGTTCTGACATAAGAATGTAATTCCGCAGCTTTTTTTTTTAATTTCGACATGGATATTTAACGTTTTTCAGGGTTCGGACATTGAATTTATGGTTTAAATTTTCTAAGTATTGTAATGTTTACTTTGTTCAATATAGCCGAGAATTAGGGACACCATAATTAGAGAAAGGAGAATAAACAGAAGGCCAGGTAGAGAAAACAAAGAACTGATTAATTAAATACTTATACACACAATGGAAAAAACAACTTAACTAATTCAACCACACATCAAATCCTACTCTAATTTGGGTACTTGCTATATTTATAAGTAGGAGCAATCCATTGTCACAGAAGAAGGGGTGAGAAGGGAGTACGCTGAATCTTGCTCTATAACACCAACTTATACGTCAAAGTAGGTCGTTCCGTCTGGAGACTTTCACAGTCTCATGAACAATATCTTTTTTTTTTTTTCATGTGGTCAACTTTCTATTTTTCACATATAGGAAGAACATTTTCATTTCTCATTGGCATATGTGAATTGATAGCGTCACTACATCTTATGAATTATTTATTTCCGTTGTTGGACACAAATTATATCGAGGGCAACGAAATCACATATAATTACGGATAATATTTCTTTTTCGTTTTTTCTCCTACCAATAATTCTTCTCTTTTTATGCACCATGCCTCTTATGGATGTAGACAATGATGGCTCTCGATAACTTCTTATTTTTGTAGCTTATAGCATTATTCCGCCCTAACAACCACAATTGAAAAACTAGAGGGAAGTGGCTTTCACGAACAACAGCTAGGTTCGTCTCTTGGGATTACTTTTCAACATTATTCTCACTATACATATTTGATACATACATATAAACATATTATGAACTTCGTTATAATAGATTTACTTCAAGATCATTTCGTCGTCTATTATATTTAACGACTTCAAATTTGTATATACTCAATATTAAGAAATATTACAGTGCTTACTGTAATTTTATTTTATTTTACTTTTTTTAATGTCATTTTTGTATAGACGTGAAATATATATATATATTGTTAACATGCAAGATACAGTCTAAACGATAAGATATTAGAGTTGAGCTTATGTATCCCCGCCAAAGAAAAGAAAAAGCAAAATAAAAACGGCAAAGAATTAAATCATACAATACTTAAGATTTAGGAAGATTAAGATTACCTCCTCAGTTATTCATCAAAACTGCAATCCACCGAAATAAAAGAAGCTAGTCCCCGCCGCGGGCCATTTAAAAGATATTTCGCGCACCGGATTGGTTGTTACAAACATCCAATCGGATGCGCGGAAGACGTGGTCTTTCTTCCTCTTAATCATTAAAAAGGCCAGAGTGGCTGTTAGCGTTTAATTAAAGGGGGTGTCAGGGGTTGATCTCCCCTGATTGGGTCGATTTTGTGATGGGGAGTATGATGTTGAAAGACCCGAAACTCCCTGATGAACCAAGTCAAAAACATCACTGACGACCCCCTTGGGCGCCTACTTAAAAGCGTACTTGCGAATTATTCTCGCTTCAGAATCTTGATTCTTTTCATCATAATTTACCACAGAATTCTCTTACGCAAACATTTCAGATCATTTTATATTTACGTCACGTACAGCAACAGAATTATTACAATTTATTTTTCAGAAGGGTGACTTAAAACTTTATAAATCTAATCAGTTATAGGATCAAAATCATGGAATATTCGAAATTCCCACACTCGGAAAAAAAACGAAATTTTCAGGTCTCTAGAAAAGTTGTGAGAATGGGGATATGAAAATTAAATGTATTATCTTTCAGAGTTTGGTTAGGGGCATTTAGCATTTTTCATAGTAGATGTGAATTTAGCAAATTTCTAGGT